TAGTAGAGATATCAAGAATACAAATGTGAAGGAAACAGAGGAGATACTTGGAATAAGAGGAGGAGAGAAAGACCAATTAGCAAGACTTTGATGGTGGTTGGATGAGTATACAGTATGTTATGACAGCTTCTTCTAGGGCAGGTTATTCTTTTATAAGACAATGTTATTTATAGACTTGGATCCCATTGGTCATTACTCAATGGTCTCTCACATGCATGGTTATTCACATGCATCACCTCTAATCCGGATTTCATGGGTAATCCTAGAGATTTGAGAGCTTGAAGAGTCTAATCTCTTCATCGAGCCCTACATTACATTGCCATGTCATATCTCGCCTAATCAAGGGCATTAAATGTTGCTTGGCCGCCGGTTGGTAAACCTGACACAGCATTAAATGTGATTTTAAGGTTTGCTGTCATAATGTGTATAATCCCATCATCTTGTTAATTGTAGAGGCAAAGGCACTTCTTGACTTTTCATCCACTAATCCAATATCCTCCTAAGTTTCCCAATCTTAGATTCTGTAGTTGCAAAGATCCTACCTTCTCTTCGCGCCATGTGATTTATTATCAAGACTCAGAGTGCTCGAGAATTAGCCTCTTGAGGCTTGATGAGCCTGGCTTAGTGCCAGGGTTTAGAATGCTCGAGGATTGACTTCTCGAGGCTTGATGGACCTGGCTTAATGCTAGGGCTTAGAACGCTCAAGGATTGACTTCTCGAGGCTTGGTGGGCCTGGCTTGATACCAGGGCTTATAATGATCGAGGGTTGACTTCTCGAGGCTCAATGGGCCTGGCTTGATACCAGGGCTTATAATGCTCGAAGATTGACTTCTCGAGGCTTGAAGGGCCTAACTTGATGTCAGGGCTTAGAATGCTCGAGGGTTGACCTTTCGAGGCTCAATGGGCCTGGTTTGATGCCAAGACTTATAATGCTCGAGGATTGACTTATCGAGGCTTGATGGGCCTGACTTGATGTCAGGGCTTAGAATGCTCGAGGGCTTACCTTTCGAGGCTTCATGGGCCTGGTTTGATGCCAGGACTTATAATGCTCGAGGATTGACTTCTCGAGGCTTGGTGAGCCTGGCTTGATGTCAGGGCTTATGACTTTTCAAACCACCACGAGGGATTTGGTTGAGGTTGTGTTGACTTGTCAACATGCCACGTCAGCTTTAACAAATGACACCCACACCTCTCTCTTTCTATCTCTACCCCACCATCCAATCACAACCTCAACATCTCACTACCACCACCCAGTTGTGTCGAGGAATGGGAATAAAGGACGGCGATGGTTTGAACCGGTGATGAGGCAGACTAAAACGATCGCAGCAGAGATGTCTTCGGCGAGGATGGCGGTGCTCTGAACCGGCGGCGGCGATGGAGAACTATCTAAAAAGTGAGCTCGACAAACACATCTCATTGTCAGCCAGTTGTGTCGTCGCCGTCCTCAAAGCTGCACATCGCCACATCGTTAGACACCGATATCGGTAAGTTCAGATCCCTCGTGCATCGCCGCCGCCGTTCCTAGCTCGCCCGACACATCTATCGTTGTCCAGTCATTGCACCGGCAGTGGTACTCTTTCCTCACCGATTTACAAACCTGATCGTCAACCACCTCTTCCCCACCGACTAGAACCTCCTCCACCAAGGTCAAATTTTGGATCTTCCTTTCAAGCTATCAATGAGATCCGGATTTAAGTTTGCAAATTTATGTCATATTTATATAGACAAATTGACATTTTTAAGCCTATTTTTTATAAGTTGGTGGTGGTGACAACTGATGGTAGTCACCACCTCCGAGAAATGGAGAAAGATATATAGATTAGATATGTGTGTGTGTGTGTGTGTATATATATGTATATATAAAGAGAGAGGAAGAGAAATAAGAGAGGATGAATATTGGAATTCGGAAGAGAGAGAGGATCAAAATTACAGAAAAAAAAGGAGAAAAGAAACTGGAAATTAGTAGGGAGAAATGTTTGGAGAGAGTTAGAAAGAGTTGCGGAGGTCCTTGTTGCCGGAGCTATTGACAAATTGTTTGATTTATCTAGGAGCATTTTTGGAACAGTAAAAGAGTAAAATGGGTATTATATTAATTGAGGGTTATTTTCGCACAAATTAAAAAGAATAGGGGTATTTTTTGCACACCTTTTTAAATAGGGGGTGAAAGTGATATGAAATGTATACTTCAGGGGTGTTTCTTGCACTTACCCCATAATTTTATATATACATACCTTTGTGCATATGTGTTCACGCTACTGAATTATTTTTAATTTAATTCTCAAATTAATGATTTATCCAAACAATAAAATTGGAATTGGAATTTAAACACTTGAATTTCAAAGTTATTCAAACAGTGAATTTTGAATTGGATTCATAGTAATTCCAACGTAATCTTAGTTCAAACATAGCCAAAGTGAATTGTCTAACTTATAAATTTTGATTAGCATTTTATATTTTGTAAAGATGACGAATCAAAATTTATTTCGGTTCAAATTTCACTACTTTTTGTGAAATAATTGTTTTGTACGGAAGACCATAGGAGGGATGTGTTTGAGCCTTTAAGGGGGTAATTGCTTAAACTTTTTGATTTTCTCTTTGTCTGTCATAATTCTTTATGTCTCTTTGAAAAGGGAAGCCAGTTTTAAGTTACAATCTAAGTCATATAAAGCTAGAGCGAGAGGGAGAGTGAATTTGAGAACGACAGAATTAAGTCATAAGCAGTGAAAATTTGAGTGAGAGCGTGCACAGAGCATGAGAGCGGGAGCGGGCTCGAAACGCGACACGTGTTGAGAAAGATAGTGTGACTTAGGTTACAATAACGTAAAAATACAAGTTTACTGTTTAAATCATTTTGGTGATTAGAAAATTATTTGGGGGCATTACTCGATTGCTTAACGAGCAGGTGTACTTGTATTCGAGTCCTCTCTCCTTAATTTGTAAGGATAATATATATATATATATATATATATATATATATATATATATTACTTGATCAAACGTGATCCTTTAAAAGCATTGGGCATAATTTACAACAATTTTGACTTTTTTTTTCTTTTTCCGTAAATAAGATTTTTGACATTTTAAATAGAATAACAATCAGCTAACTTTTGCTTGAAAGGATCCAAAAAAAAAAGTAATAATAAAAAAATAAAAAAATAAAAGAAAAAGATATGATGAAAAATACGAATTATTAGGTATAAAATGAGTCTTTAAATTTTTAGGTAATAGAAAGGGTGAAGAAGCGTGAGTTTAGAAATCGATGAAAGAGATAGAGAGAGAAGAAAAATGGTGATTACTCAATTAAAACGGATTAATCCAACTTTCTTTTTTTTTTTTATTATTTTGCTAATTTTGTTATTAAAAATGATGTGTTATTTTGTTATTAGAACACATAAGGAGTGAGTAAGGTGAAGCTACTCATCGATAAGTAGCTAAGCGTTATTCATAATTTTATATACACATAACTATATGCATATGTATTCGCACTATTTTATTATTTTTAAATTAATTCTCAAATTAATGATTTATCCAAACAATAAAATTGAAATTGGAATTTAAACACTTGAATTTTAAAGTTATCCAAACAGTGAATTTTGAATTGGATTCATAGAGTAATTTCAATGTAACCTTAGTTCAAACATAGCCAAAGTGAATTATCTCCGACTTACAAATTTTGATTGGTATTTTATATTTTGTAAAGGTGACTAGTCAAAATTTATTTCGATTTAAGTTTTACTACTTTTGTGAAATAATTGTTCAGTATTGTTGTATGGAAGACAATAGGAGGGATGGGTTTGAGCCATTAAGGGGGTAATTGCTTAAACTTTTTGCCTTTCACTTTTTCTCTTTGCCCATCCTAATTCTTTATGTCTCTTCGAAAAGAGAAATCAGTTTCTTATAATAACCTAGAAATACAGGTTTACAGTTTGAATCATTTTGGTGCAAATAATTCTTATAGGGGATTGAATATCAATTAGAAAAAGAAAATAAAAAGCCCACAGAATTATTGTTTTCATGTCGACCAATTAGAAAATTACTTGGGAGCATTACCTGGTTGTTTAGCGAGTGACTATGCCTGTATTCGAGTTTCACTCCTTTTAATTTGTAAGGATAAAATATGGATTGAATATCAATTAGAAAAAGAAAATAAAAAACCCACAGAATTATTGTTTTCATGTCGACGGTCGACCAATTAGAAAATTACTTGGGAGCATTAGCCGGTTGCTTAGCGAGTGACTATGCCCGTATTCGAGTTTCACTCCTCTTATTTTATAAGGATAAAATATATATATATATATATATATATATATATATATATATATAAATTAGCTTGCTCAACCGTGGTCCTTCATAATTTACAAGAATTTTGACTCTTTTTTTTTTTTCGTAAATAAGAATTTTGACATTTTAAATACAGAGGAACAAACACTCAGCTAATTTTTGCTTGAAAGGAAATTTTTTATAAAAAAAAAACACAGATATGATGCAAAATACGAATATGTCTCACCATTTTGTTCTATCAAAAAATTGCAACTTGTATGACTTTATTGTTAGGAATATTTTAGGGCCTATGATTGCTTGTAATGGAATTGAATACATCAAACCATTACAAATACGAACCACGAAGACTTCAAATTTTGAAGAGTAGAGAAAGTAGGAGTGGTGGAATAGGTAATGCTCGCAAAAGAGAAAAACAATTGTTTTTTTTTCGTTCGTTTTAATCTCTCTTTACTTTCTTTAACTTTCATTTTTCATCTATCATATTTGTCTTTCCACCACTAATTTTCTTCTAATCCCTTAGCATTTGTTTTTCTTCTAGATTTTACTTAGATAGGGTGGGCCCATAATTACACACAATTGTATTACCTTATCAAATTATTCTAGATTTTACTTAGATAGGGTGGGGCCCATAATTACCTTATCAAACTGTAACAGTTGAAAGACCTTATAAAAAGAAATAAAGAACATATATATATATATAGCTGATGAATGTGGTAGAAGCTTACGGAAGAGGGCAATCAAATTAATGATGTGAAAGGCATTATGAGAGATGGGGCATGAAGCTACCAGAACACACACTCTCTCTCTCTCTCTCATCTCTTCAACCAGAACCCACTCTTCTGATGACTATAAATAAGGTATTCATGTCCCTTCAAGTTCATCATCCAATACTTGAAAGCTCTCTTCCAATCTTTTCGTGAATTCTACTCTGCTGTTTGATTTCAGTTTCAAAATCCTCAAAAATGTCGCTCGTTCCAAGCATCTTTGGGGGCCTTCGAACCAATGTATTCGATCCATTCTCTTCTCTAGACATTTGGGATCCCTTCTTCACCTCCTCAGTCGCCAACATTCCTGCTTCAGCACGCGAAACCTCTGCGTTTGCCAACACCAGAATCGATTGGAAAGAAACCCCGGAAGCTCATATTTTCAAAGCTGATCTTCCGGGGTTGAAGAAAGAGGAAGTGAAGGTTGAGGTGGAGGAAGGAAGAATTCTCCAGATAAGTGGAGAGAGGAGCAAAGAGCAGGAGGAGAAGAATGACAAATGGCACCGCGTCGAGAGGAGCAGTGGCAAGTTCCTCAGGAGGTTCCGGTTGCCGGAGAGTGCAAAGATGGATCAGGTGAAAGCCAGCATGGAGAATGGTGTGCTCACTGTCACTGTGCCCAAGGAGGAAGTGAAGAAGCCTGAAGTCAAGGCTGTTGACATCTCTGGCTAACTTTAAAAAAATGCCTTCTCTTTAAACAAGTCATCCACGAATAAATGTGATTCCAATAGTCTGTTTGTGTGTGAGAGAGTGTTGTGTGCTGTGTTTTGTTTCTCAGTTTCAGTTTGGTGACATGAAAAACCTTTGTTGTTGTGTCACTTGTTATCCAATAAATGAATGCCTAGTGTATTTTGCTATGATAACCAATCAATATCTTCTTTGAGAAACCCTAAAATGCATTAACAAATCCTCCAAATTAAGTTGTGATCATAATGATGCTTATTTATTCCATTCCAAATCAAATTACTCATGTTACTTTTGAATAAGCAAGTGTTTCATTCTCTTTTAACTTGTTCCGAAGCTTAACACTACCTCAAGAAAAGCAAGGGAAAAGCCTTCCCTATTGCTTAAAATCAGAAAACTATAAACCAGGCTGTTTGGTTCCCTAGAAACAACCAACCAAATCTTTCAATCTGCTTGAATCTTCCCTTTTTGGCTCTTCTGAGAGGATGCCAAGGAAAGAAGGGAGTGGGAGAAATGCACACTGTCACATCGATAAGCCACACCTTGAATTAGTCCTTCAAATGTAACTAAAACTCATTCAATTTAATCCCGAATTGTAAGATTAAAGGAACTACTTGAAGGTACCAGCATATCACATTAAACAGATCATTATCTATTATTTACGCTCCCCGGAAAGTATTCAGGTTAGCAACACAATATTCATACTACCATTCACTTTTCGTTTAGAGCTTGCAAGTCACAGAAGATGTATATATACAAAGGCCAGGATTTTACAAGTTCGGTAAAATTGGAAGCTTACCCCTATGATTTAAGAATTGCATCTTTGATGGGAAGGAAAATCCTCTGGTGCAGCTAAACTGTAAGCTCCAAGCTAGTAAATTATGAATCTTCGAAAATGTAACCCTCCAGCACCATCAGAATACTCTCATTTGCCACCCTGCGGTTGATGTTGGCGGAATGCTTACGTGCAGGATTTCCCGCAAATTCCATGTTTCCATTAAACCAATGCAATATATATAGCCATATTCTTGGTCTGGAATGTTGGGAAGGCGATGATCATAAATGGCTAGCAGAGCAAAACGTTTAAAGGAGCTATAAAAATTAATGTTGGTTTCCCTGATGCAGTGTGTGTTAAGAGGAGCCATCTCTTGGTGAAATGGTAAAAGCTCACAGGCACAGACAAATATAATTGAGTACTATTCTTATGGTGCCAAAAACTCCTTTATATTACACAAAATTCCTTTATCATATGGATTTCTAAACCTCATATGATTTATGGTTTCCCCTGAACAGAAAATAAAAAATAATAATAATAAATTATTGAACAATTTCTATCATAAATTGGGTAAAAGAACTATTGGAGCCATGTAATAGACATACCTGGTTGAGACTGGTCAATAAGTTGGAACTCTGGATACCTCTTCCAGTTTATCTGCAGAAACATTGATGTTTAGTTGCAAAACTGCAGTTTTTTTCTTCTTATTTTTCATTTCCCCTCATAAACAATCACTTGATTTGACTCCACAAAGCTAGTGGTGCTGGTTGGATGCTGTCTAATTTGTGCAACCTAATTTTTAAAATTATTTTCCAAGACTGGAGGTTTTCTCAGCACATCCTTGAAACATCCAAGCAAGAGATATTTTGTAGTTACTCCTATTGCAAACTGGAGGGAAGATTTATTTTAAAGAGGAGACGTTTTAACATGTAGATATCAAGGCATTAGAACTAGGCAGAACATAAGTTCCATAGGACCAAATTGACGGCATAAATATCCCTCCCTCCCTCCTTCCAATATGGACCAACTTGTTAATGGAAAAGAAAAGTTCAAGCAGAAAAAAAGAAAAGGAAAGATAATGGTATGAGAAACCAACAATCAAATAGGTTCTAATTATATCTTTTTCACATTCAAACAAACTAAAAGAGGTCTGCATTTATTGTTTCAATATATAGATAAAGAGATTTTGCAACTTACCCACTCATCAGTTCTGATGTTGAAGCATACACAATATATATGCCATGTCAGGAACACCCCCTACGCGCGTGCAAGAATCACTTGTTAGATAATCAAATTATCTATCATTTTCTTCATTTCCAATCAATTATCAACATATTATTCAAAAGGATACAAATAGTTGGATAGAGATTCGCAAAAAATTCTTAGCGGAATCTATTCCAAATCTCATCCAAAGTTTATGTTTTTTAATGTCGTTGTTTCCAACAATCCCCCACATGAATGAAAATTGGTTGCTTAAATGCAAAAGATGATCATGCAGACACTAGATAGAGTATAGTCGGAAAGTTATTGCATCAGGATAGGTAGTTTTTGGCTTTGAACCTTCCCTAGTGTATTGCTATCGGATTTACTGGCTAACCAGTGAATGTGATGTCTTGAACTATTCAGCCGTTTGTGTAAACCAAGACAATAACAAACACACAGTACCATTCCTCACAAAGTTAGTTCTCATTATTGTGTTCATTTTGGCCCTGAACAACTCCTGGTATTCATGAGTGCTCTAGAAAACTTAGCCTTTATAGTTCTCATAAAACGGCCCTACTTCACACTCGTATAGGTGACTTCTTATTAAGAGTATCCTACCATACCCCACTTGAATTTTCAAGGTATAAGAGTCATTAAAAACGTAGCTTATCCTAATCATCAGTGTAGGTAACACTGGCTTATTATAGAAATGAGTGGAGATTTATATCTTCCCAGTGCTTCCGGAGAGTCACTCAGAATTTCTGTTGTCCCTTTGAACCTAGATCTTGGGATTTCCAGTCAGCTAGGTTGGGTTTCCATTAACGTGACTCGTTAGCTTTCGGCTTTAAACCCCATTCCTCTCGATGATCTGTATAATTGCTCTCTAATACAACCCTCAATTTTATATGTTGCCACATGATTGTGTAACGACCCAAACCGGGGGTCCGGATCGCTAACCAGGTCCTTAACCAAACCCAAGGACACACTAAGGGTAAAACGGTCATTTTATAATATCAGAGAGTAATCCACCCTTAAACTAGTCAAATGAGGTTTAAAATAATCATTCTTAACCATTCCATGACAGTTGAAGAGGTTCTACGGTCGTAGGATGTGGTCTCCCAAAAGTACCCTTGTCCGGTTCATGGAAAATTCTAACACTGTCCCACTAAAATAACCATAACTCTCTACACGAATGGAATTTGAAGATGTGGTTAGTCTCATTGGAAATATTATTAAAAATCCTTAAAAATGGGCTCAAGAATGACCCTATTTGGGTTCCGAACGAAGGAGTTATGACCTTCCGAAATTTGGTGATCAAAGCTGATAAAACTGTGAAGGCAAAAATATACACTGGAGAGTTGCTACCGGTTCCCAATCTTGCTATCGGTTCCACATGGACAGAATGTCACAATGCGAACCAAAAACACCCTTGAAACGGTTCCCGGATGTGGTACTGGTTCCCAAAGTCCAGAGACTAAAAATAAATGCCCTGGAAGCCTGAAAACATGATCTTATGCACTTAGGCACTCCTATGGTCCATTGGTGACCTTAATCCAAGTTCAAAACCTGTCCCAACACAATACAAAATAATGATCTACATGCCATGGTCCCTTATATCAACAATTTAATAAATCGCCACATTATTTTTTTTCATTCAAATAACAATTAATTACAAAGCTTTTACACTTTTGTTCCAAATTTACATTAATGGGGGTCTAAGCACATGGTTATGTTACAAGGCCATACCATACAATTTAATACATTTTAAGATACTATTTTACAAAAAAATGGCTCATGCCTACAAAATAGTTGTAAAACACTTTTCAAGTTCCTCCTCATGCTTGTGGAGAAATGTCATCCACCACCCTCTTCCCGTGACTAGAAAAATATTAATAATAAAGGGGTAAGCAAATTGCTCAGTGGGTAGTGCCTAAGACACACCTCTTGTGACCCCGTGAATCCACGTATAGAATAGAAAACAAGTGAATGGGATCATACAACTCCTGGGATGAAAACCATAAACACGACATTCATTATAAACACAATTGTCATCCAAGTCACAAATACACCATGTATGCCAATGAAGTGCAATGCCATGCTCATGTCGCTCCCCATTTCCAAACAAAACCATTTCATCGCATCAAATCGTTAATGCAACCCGACCTATAGCACCTCTATGGCGTCATGAGGAGAGGGTTGGCTAGCAATCCCCGACCACATGACACCTCCATGGCATCGTCTGGGCATAGGTAGCTCAACCTCCCTTTAGATTACATTAATACCACGGACCACTAGATGCCTCCTAGGTGTCCGGTTTTCACAACACTTTTCAAAACATCATTAACACCACGGACCACAAGGAACCTCCTAAGCGTTCGGGTTCTTCGCAAACTTTCCATCAAAACATTTTCCCAAAAATCATTTCTTTTGCTTTCAAATCATTTATCCCATTTTTCTCTCCCAATTGATGCATGAATGCTTCATGCTCCTAATCTTGAATTTAACCATAGAATTTCACACATGCTTTGCAAATGAAAAACTTCTAAAATAGGAAATTCATGTTTCCCATCAACACTATTCAGCATACCAAGTATACAAAGCATAATTCATTTCATATAAGCATACTATTACACAATTCCATACAATTCATGTGTTCACAATATAGCAAGCATTATAGGAAATTTCTAATAATAACCAACATGTCTATGTTGAAAATTTAGCAAATCCAACACAATAGGCATAGAAATTCACCATTTAACATGCTTTCTCATACAACATCAATTAATTCACATAATTACATGCTTTAATTCAAAAGAATAATTCTAGAAATATATCTCATGCCTTCTAGTCACAAAATTCATCACTTATAACATAATAGACATGAAAACATCATCATTTGAACATAGTTCTTCATCACATATCAACTTAGCATGTAATTACATCTCATATACGATACATAGCAAAGTTTGCATGAAATATACACAAATTAATCTTGTAATAACACAAATTATAAGGGATTGACTCACAAAAATCCAAGAGATTATGGATTAGAAACCATTACCTCATTGAAGCTAGCCAAACAAGCCCTAAGGTCCCCAAAATTTCGAAATCATTCAAAACCCTAGCAATATTGGTCTCAACTTGAAGCCCATGCCAAACTCTCCATCTTCCCTTCCTCATCTCCCTCAAAATCCCACCTTA